AAAATGTGTATAATTTTGACGGACCGCGAGGGTGTATATATTTTATATGTACTTATTAAAATAATAATTATATATTTTTATAAATTGAAATAATAATATTATTAAATAAATAAAATACTCATATATTAATATTATGTATGTTTGTTATTTTTATAGTAATAAAATGTAATTTTCATTATGTAAAATTTTAAGGATATTTTTAATTTAAATTATATTTTTACTTAAATAATGTAAAAATGTTTATAAATTTTAATTGATTGTAACTTTAAATTAAAAATTAAAATTAAAATTAAAAACAATTGATTAAAGATACAACATTAAACAAAATAAATCATTCATAATATCTATTAGATATATTAATTGACTATTTATCTGAATTTCTATCATTTTCAATATAATCATTTACAAAACCGAATTGCTATATTGGTCCATACCGGAATCCCTTCGACTTAGTCAGATTGAAAAATAGATTCGTCAAATTGTATTTAAATAATATTTTGTGGTCGGTCGAGTACGCACAACAACTTACCAACGAGACTACTTAGTAATTGCATTCGGGTAATTAATATAAAACATTTACCTAGTTTGTTGTGCAAGTATATAATGCTCATTCGTCCGTGAAATTTTTCAAAAATTAACATAAGTATATTGTAAGTCTACGAAAAATCGTACTCTTCCGTCCCACCAACATACGATCATTTTTTTCTTTTATGTCCGTCTCATACTCTTTCTATTTTTAGTAAATTTATTTATATTAAATATACTTAACAAATATAAATCAATTTAATTAAATTTATAACCTCTTGCACAAGATTTATTCAAACTCTTTTATTTCTATCTCTCTCCTCAATAAATAAATATTTTTATTTATATTTAAAATTCTTTTTTTTTATAAAAATTTAATTATAAATAAATAAATATTTTTAATTTATTTGCATTATAGTATAAAATTTTATAATCTACAAAATGATGTCATATTGTATATATTTTATTGAGATATAATAGTAAAAATATTTAAAATACTAATAACACTATTCATATAAAAATAATAAAATAATATAAAAACTTGTTATTAATAACTTGGGAAAAAATCAATTTTGGTCCCAATATAAAAAATTCATCAATTTTTGTTCCAATATAACCAAAATTTATCAATTTTGGTCCCAATATAAAAAACTCATCAATTTTGGTCCTAACATAAACAATTTTAATCAATTTTGGTCCTATTATAAACAATTTTTATTAATTTTGGTCTCACCGTTAAAAAACTAACGGAAATTGCTGACGTGGACATGACGGAGGTGACGTGGTAGTTGACCTGGAAAGTACACGGCCATTTACAATTATACACGGCCATGTTGTTACAGGGCCATGTATATTTTAGTGTATAATTATACATGGTCATGTTGTTACACGACCATGTACAATTATACACGGCCATGTTGTTACGGGGCCATGTATATTTCAGTGTATAATTATATATGGTCATGTTATTACACGGCCATGTACAATTATACACGGCCATGTTGTTACATGACCATGTATATTTCAGTGTATAATTATACATGACCATGTTGTTACACGGCCATGTATAATTCTACACGGCCGTGTATCTTTCTGTTTCAGTCTAAAATTTTAATTTTTTGTTATATTTTTAAAATTTTTTTAAATTTAGAATAGTTGATATAGTTAAAATGGAAAAAATAATAATAATAATCGTAATATAATTAAAATATATCAATTTTAGTTCAAATATAAGTATTTATCGAGTACGTTTTTTTGGAAGATTTTGTCTAAAATTCTATTATTTAGCAAAAAAAATTCTCTTACAAAATTTTAATTATTATTGTATTGAAATTTTTACTAAATAGTATAATTTTAGACAAAATCTTCCAAAAGAACATACTCGATAAATACTTATATTTGAACTAAAATTGATATATTTTAATTATATTATGATTATTATTATTATTATTTTTCATTTTACCTATATCAACTATTCTAAATTAAAAAAAAATTAAAAATATAACAAAAAATTAAAATTTTAGACTGAAACAGAAAGATACACGGCCGTGTAGAATTATAATGGCCGTGTAACAACATGGTCATGTATAATTATACACTGAAATATACATGGTCATGTAACAACATGGCCGTGTATAATTGTACATGGCCGTGTAACAACATGGCCATGTATAATTATACACTGAAATATACATGGCCATGTAACAACATGGCCGTGTATAATTGTACATGGCCGTGTACTTTCCAGGTCAACTGCCACGTTACCTCCGTCATGTCCACGTCAGCAATTTCCGTTAGTTTTTTAACGGTGGGACCAAAATTGATAAAAATTGTTTATAATAGGACCAAAATTGATTGAAATTGTTTATGTTAGGACCAAAATTGATGAGTTTTTTATATTGGGACCAAAATTGATAAATTTTGGTTATATTGGGACCAAAATTGATGAATTTTTTATATTTGGATCAAAATTGATTAATTTCAATTATATTGGGACCAAAATTAATTTTTTCCCTAATAACTTACCTAAAATATCTTGTTCCTAATCAATGAGGTCATCTGACCCGGGACAAAGGAAGTATAAAATAACTATATCTATCATTATAAAAGTTTGTCGGGAACATCCGCGCAACAAACTATTAAAAAATGTATATAATTATAAAAATTATTAATAACTTTCATTTAAGAAATTAAAAATATATATTATTTTCTTAATATCTATTTTTTAAAATATTGTCATCGAAGGCTACAATAAAATTAAAGTAAAAAATAAATTATTGTCGTGACAACCACAACAAATTTAAAAGATTAATTACAAAAATTTAAAATTAAAAAATTAAATGCATAGTAATACATAGATAATTTTTTTATTTATTTAAAATTATTATTGCATAAAGTTACAACAAATTTAGAGACAATATATTTATTTTTTATTTGTTACAGACTTCAGCAATAAATCAAAAAAATATCAAATATTGTTGCGTAAAACTCCGCAACAATTAAATTATATAACTTTGTATTAAATTAACGGCAGAAGCTGTGACAATTCATCGTGACAAAATTTTCGCGACAATATTGCATTTTTTATTTACGCGCAGATCAACTTCTCTTATAAAATGCATTAATAAACAACATTTTTTATATTACAATCCACTTCATGACATGTTCGAATTATAATTTTTTAGTTATGCATCTCGATGCATATTTAAAATTATTGAAGCACTGTACTTGAAAAGTGTTCCATCCACAATCAAGAACTATCCACCTAGTTTGACCTTCAAGGGTCTTGTACAATGAATTGGTTAAATTACACAAAATTCACTCGTTGTTTCATAAAATTGTATCAAATCTCCCGTACTTTTAAAAATGCGTTAAATTTCTTCGTAGTTCTATAAACTTTGCGTCTAACTCCCTCAGTGATTCTTATTTAACGGTATTTGACGTAAATGCGCTCAAACTGCGAATAAATTTTAAAATATTAATTTCTAAACCCCTAAAATTAAAAATATATTTATTTTTTTTTATATTTACCCTTTAAAAAATAGTAAATATACTCAAAAATAGTTATTTTTCTCATGTTTTAAGAGTTTATTTTTACTATTTTTTTAGGCTAAATATATAAAAATAAATATATTTGTAATTTTAGGGGTTTAGAAATTAAGATTCTAAAATTTATTCGCAATTTGTGTGCATTTAGGTCAAATATCGTTAAATAAAAACCGCTGAGGAGGTTAGACACAAAGTTTATGAAACCACGAGGAAGATTGACGCAGTTTTAAAAATACGAGAGATTTGGTGCAATTTCATTAAACCAGCGATGGATTTTGTAAAATTTAGCCTAATGAATATATAAACTCTATTTTTCTTATTTAATTTTTTTCTATTTTCTTAATGTATTTCTCGAAATCTTTAACTTATAAATTTATTCGTTTTTACAAATTGGGTTTCATTGATTTTATTTTAAGAAATTAATATATATAATTTACTTTCACAAAATCCAACTATATTTGTCTTGATTGGTAAAATTGTTTTTCTGTAATATATAATGAGAGTGCGTTATTATAAACTTTAGTATAAATAATACTGAAATAAAATAATCTTACTCATTTAGGTATAATTAATTATTCATAATGAAATGTATTATTGTATCAATTTTCCATCTAGGAATTTAATTAATTATAGCAAATATGTGAGTATATAAATTGAACAAAATAATACTATCTATTCTAATTAGACAAATGAAACTAGACTTGCCGAAATGGTTCAAACCGTTAGTTACGATTTTTTAAAATATTAAATCAAAATTGAATTTTCCGAATAATGATTTTGCTTACAGTTTGACAGCTTCGATTTCGGTTTATAAACAACCGATTTCAGTTTAAAAATCGTCCGATTTTATATATTTATTTTTAATATTTTCCTTTTTATTTCCTATTTTTTCTAAAATTTTATTTAAAAATAATTATATATAAAAAATTATAAAATTTAAATAAAAAATAATATTATAGTATTATTATTTTTTACTATCACTAATAATTATTTATTTTATTTAATATTAATATTATTTTTATTTTTATAAAAATTTAATAATATTACACATCCACAGCACCAATTCTCCTCTTTCTTCCTCCTGTATCTTCTCCTTTCCTCCAGTTCCTTTTATTTCTTCCTCTTCTTCTACACCTATGCTACTGCTGCGCCGTCACCCTAGATTTATTATAAAAAAACAAATCGAGCCACCGGTTCAAACCCGCCGTTTGAACCGGCGGTTCACGGTTTCAGAAAATGACAAAACCAAACCCGCCGGTTTTCGCCGGTTCGAACCGAATGGGCATGTCTAAATGAAACGTACCCAAAGAGTAAGAAACAGTTCGACGTCTCTTCTTTTGCCGAATGATCACTTCAATATTTTATTACAAATTGGACTTATATATATATATATATATTAGTATGCCTTGGGCAATTAAACAATATATGTAATCTCGATCAACAGAGCATATCCTCAATAATGGATCTTCCACAAGCTCCATCTGGTTTCAAAATCCTGATGTTCCCATGGTTGGCTCACGGCCATATCATCCCCTACCTTGAGCTCTCCAAAAGATTATTATCCAGAAATAATTTCCATTTCTACATCTGTTCGACAGCCATCAATATATCTTCAATCGAAAGCTTCATCAAAGGCAACAATTTGGGGGACTCCATTGAAGCTGTGGAGCTCAAATTGGAGCCATCCGTACAGCTTCCACCACCCTACCATACAACAAAGAATCTTCCTTTACATCTCATCCCCACCCTCCTAAAAGCCTTTCAGACAACCAGATCAAGCTTTTCCGACATCGTCGACACGTTGAACCCTGATTTAATCATCTATGACTTGTTCCAACCATGGGCTCCCAAACTTGCAGCATCACGAGGTATTCCTGCAGTTCATTTCTATATTGCTGGAGCAGCTACAAGGTCGTACGGCTACCACCTACATAACAATTACTTCCCAGAACTACAACTGAATGATTATGAGAAGATGAGTCTTGGTGAAAAGATAAAGCTAATCAATGCTGTCTTTGAAGAGGGGGAGACGTTCAGTGATAATCTCGAACTATCGACTGAAGTTGTCCTGTTGAAGACCAGTTGGAGCTTCGAGGGGAAGTACATAAACTATTTCTCCGATTCTTGCAACAAGAAAATTTTGCCGACAGGTCCTCTTGTCACGGACGCTAATTCTTCTTCGGATGAGAATTCAGACATATTACAGTGGCTAAGCAAGAAAGATCATCATTCGACTGTTTACATTTCATTCGGGAGCGAATACTTCTTGTCGGGGGAAGAAGTCGAGGCAATAGCAAAAGGGTTAGAGCTTTGCGAGGTGAACTTCATTTGGGTTCTAAGATTTCCTCTTGGGGAGGAGACAAAGACCATAGAAGAGACACTTCCATTAGGGTTTCTTGAGAGGGTTAAGGAAAGAGGTGTAGTGACAGGATGGGCACCACAGGCAAAGATTCTACAACATCCTGGAATTGGTGCATTTCTAAGTCACTGTGGATGGAGTTCGATAATGGAGAGTATGTACTTTGGGGTTCCCATTATAGGGATGCCGATGAAAGCCATTATGCTTATCGACGCCAATATGTTGGTGGGGTGTGGTGTTTCTTTAAGGATTCCGAGAAAGGACAATGAAGGGTATATAGGTGAGGACATAGCAACGGTGATGAGTGATGTTATTTTTGGAAAAAGTGGAGAGAGGCTGAGGCGTAGAGCTGAAGAATTGAGTGAGAAGATGAGGATGGAAGAAGTTGAAGAGATGGACATCGTGGCGAACCAACTATGGAAGATTTGTTTAGAGAATCGACCATAAGAGCATATCTTACAATCACTTTCTTTGTTACATTCTTAGTTTTAGTTAGTATCTTTATTATAAAATACGGTTAACAATGCACATATTACATTCTGTAAGATCAAATTCAGACGCCTCGAGATCTTGTCTATCGCGCATAGTTTGTCTAGTGTGACTTATTTTGGGCTTAATTTACAAGCTATTAGATTTGTGGATGTGAGTTCTCACTGTTATAAAAAAATAATAATAATAAAAAAATAACAATTAATTATTAGCTAAGTATTTTAAAAAATTAAATTTATTAATAACTTATCAAGCAAATGTAAATTCAAAGTATTACATCCATCTACATATTTTTTAATCATTTAAATTTATTTAATTTTTTATATCCAACTTCAAGCCTTAGACTTACTTAAAATTTTTATATTTAATTCAATGAAATAACCAATAAAAACAATAATTTCTTCAACTACCTTTTGAATCGAACCAAACTCATGGAAATAAATTATTTGGGAAATACATCAATTCGAATTTATTTCAATCAATCAAATTTTCAAATACTACTATATCCACAAATTCCAATGATTTTAGTATTTCCAAAGAATAATAATAAAAATTATATAATATTTTGACGATTTATATAAATTAATATCTTGAAATGAAAATATAATATTATTTTAAAAATATTATTTATATATTATTAGACTAAAAATGTAAAAAAAAAAAAATAAGTTATTACGTAGTTCCATAAAATTATAAAGTTACTTGAGAGGTTTATAAAAATTGTAAGGATTATTACTTGAAAGCGATGACAATAGTATGTAATATCCGATCTAAAGTCGAGTTGGTCTATTAGATATTTTGTTAATTGAATATTATAAAGTTGGTGTAAATTCGTTGACTTCAAACGATTGCATACTGATTATGCCAAATAAGACAACTATAATTACGCTAATTAAAAATGGTCCGGGCTTGTCCTACCATACATAGGTGTGTTTGTTTAAGGGTTTGGATTTTGAATTGAAATTTGAATAGTGAAAATTTTTAGTTGTATGATGTGATATAAATAGTTGAAATTTGAATAGTAAAAATTTTGAATTGTAATAGTTGTATGATGTGATATAAATAATTGAGATTTGAATAGTAAAAATTTTGAATGGTGCTTTTATACTATTTATTGTAACTTCATTGGAGTTTGTTAGGATGGATCTTTTTCAGTTTATTGTTTTAGATTAGAATGCTTATCATCATGAGAAATACTATATTACTCCCTCTGCCTCACTTCTCATGTCCACTTTTTCACTTCGGTCCGTTCCACTTATTTTGTCATTTAAAAAAAAAAAAAAAATTATACACTTTAATTCTATTTTAAAAAATTTAATTTATAATTTTTTTAATTTTAATTATACTAATAAGTTATCTTAACCTTAATTTATAATTATTTTTATTATATGATAATTATTTTTACTAATATATTTTTAATTATTTATTAATTATACCTCTTCTAAATTTCCGTGTCTACAGTAAAGCGGACAAAATATCCGGGACGAAGGGAGTATTAAAAAGGAAAGTACTGAAAATTTGTTATGTAGATTTTGGTACCATATTTACTTTAGGACTTGATTGTTCTCCATTACTTAATTATGAAAAATAATTTTATTTTGGTGATATATACTCTTGAATTTTATTAGAAATAGTTTCACTCTCTTGAAAGTTTTTTGTTACATTCGTCTCGGTTTAGATACACCGAGTCATTCTGCCAACGATCGTAGGAGCGGGCCAATCCATGATATACTCCTCGTGGATCCGATTGATTGAACATTTCAATTGTATTTCAGTGCATTAGGTAATTGATTTGCAATATATATTACGATCTGACTACGTCTTCTACGTTCACTCTTGATTCTTAATTACTTTTGTTGGGGACCAACTTTGGCTTTGCAGTCTTGGCTGTCGCTATTGGTTGTTAACTTGTTGCTCTCTTTCGTTAGTCTATCAAAACTCGAATGTATTCATTGGAGTTGTTGTTGTGGATTGATTGATCGGTGTGATATGTGTTAATGTAGCTAATTAGTAGTTGGATAGTAATCTTTTTACTTTTAACGATTACTTAGTTCTACTTGTTCGATGTACGACATTGTTTGTAATTAAACTTCTTCATTTCCTATCTGTTTGCTCTATCTAAAATTTAATTTCATAGTATTTATGAAAAAATAGCGGACATGTTATTCTCTATGAAATTTGTGTCGTAGCAAATACCATAAAAATAACAGACTTGACAAGTTGTACAAAGAAATTTCCAACAAGAGTTATTTATTTTACCAATTTTTTTGTTATGGTCATTTCTTGTAGCACAAAGTTATACTTTGTTGTGACGGTTTAAATGTCGTAAAAAGTGGACATCCCACGCACGCCTAGGGGCGTTGACTAGAATTATTTGTTACGAAAAGTCTTGTAGATAAAAACAATTGTTTCCCAATTGCATGTTACGCCCTAATGTTGTAACAAAAAAAAAAAGTTTTGGTTAAGAATTTCTAGGTGTGATGAAAAAAGAATTTTTTGGTGGTGAATTAATGTAGAACTTCCTAATCTTCTTACAAAACAAAAAACTAATCAAAGGGGCAAGAGACATTTTGATATGGAGGCAGAATAGTAATAGGAATTTTATGGTTAGATCCTTCGTAAGACAGCTGCAAAATAGTCCAACTCAGCTCCCACTCACTTCCTTTTCTCTCACATCTGCTCCCAATAATAAATCTAGGGCGACACATAGTTCGCCTAGTGTGATTTGTCTATCGGGTTTAGTTTTAGAGTATTATGTTCGATCGAAAATTTATCCAGTGCGCACTTTCGCATAGTGGCTGCGGATTCCCACGCCATAAAATAATAATAATAAAATATAGATTTTTGTGCGCTCTACTCATTTTTCTTTTTTTTTTTTGAACTGATCATTATTTGCCTTTATCACAGGTGACAGAACCGGCCCTAAAACTTAGGGAGACAAAATGTCATTTTTTTTTTAATTTAATATTATCTTTTTTGATTTCTTACAATGCAACTGGATAAACAAGAAAGAATGAAAAAAATAGCTAAAAATTAAATTTTTAGAAAAATATTTAAGAAAATTTAATAAAATTCAATTATTTATACTAAAAAAATTTAAAGTTTAAAAAGTATAAATTAATAAAATTATAAAAATTTTATTATTTTTACTATAAAATAAAAAAATCGAAAAATAGAGGGAGGGGGCAAAAATTTTTTACACTAAAAAAATCCTATATTTTAAGGGTTGGGAGTCAACTGCCCCTAACTCTTATGTAGCTCCATCTTAGCTTATGTATTTCATCTTCTTTCCCTCCTTTTGTTTCCGATTCCAATAGGTGTGTTCATACAAGAATACAATTGCAAAAACATAACAATAGACAATAAAAAATAGAGAAATTGAAATTATATAGAGAATGAGAGTTTTTTCTCGTTTAGTCCAATTGAAAATCTAATACAGTGATGTAGAAAAATAATACTCCCTTCGCCCCCACATAATTTGTCCCTATTTTCTATTTTCGTCCGTCCCAAATAATTTGTCCTTTCTATTTTTGGAAATATAATTATACACTTTAATCGCATTTTAAATTTTAAATTTTATAAATTTTTTAATTTTAATTAAACTATTTATTTATTTATCTTAATTTTAATCTATAATTATTTTTACTAAATAATAATTATTTTTACTAATACACTTCTTAATTACTTACTAATTATACTTTGCCTAAATTCTCGTGTCTATAGTAATACACCATATTACATGGGACAGAAAGAGCAAACTATTATTTGTTCAAAAACAACATATATATATATATATATATTTGTGCTGGTGTAGGAGAGACTAGTTTCACCATACTTTTTTGTTCCCTCACTCTTTCTCTTTCTTTGTCGTGTCATTGATATTTTTAAATTTGTTTTTCTTTCCTCAATTTCTAATGGCAATTTGGGTTTTGGTTTTTAATAGTAAATTTTTTAATTAAAATAGTTATTTGATGTGATATAAATATGTATTTATGTGATATTTTGAATATAAAATTTAATTTTAATGTAATATAATAAATAAAAATAGATATTTGATCTGACATTTTTTTAAATAAAAATTAAAATAGTAAAATCGAAATTCAAATCCCACGAGTAAACACACCAAGTAGATAGAGTTTACTTGATAGTAGATAGGCTTTGGCATATAATAGATGGACTTGAGAAGAGTCCACCATTGTATCTACAAATAGAGAAGTCCTCGAGAGTGCAAGCAATACACATCATTAAGGCCCGTGTTTGGATTGACTTTTGTAAAATACTTTTGGCTTCTGCTTCTAAAAGAATATTTATTCATGTTTGTATTGAATTATCTTCAAAAGTAGAAGCAGTTTTTAAACTTACAATTTTAACCATAATAATAATAATAATTCATTTATATAAAAATTTAAATATAATTGTATTTTAATTATTAATTTATATATTTTAGTTTAATTAAATTTAAAATTTATGATTGAAAATATCAAATTTTAAAAATATAAATTTTAATTATATAGTAGATAATTTAATACTCCATCCGTCCCACATAATTTGTCCCTATTTTCTATTTTAGTCCGTCCCATATAACTTGTCCTTTCCTTTTTTTTAAAATATAATTTTACACTTTAATTACATTTTAAACTTTATATTTTATAATTTTTTTAATCTAAATGAAAGTATTTAGTTATCTTAATCTATAATTATTTTTACTACACAATAATTATTTTTACTAAAAACACTTCTTAATTACTTACTAATCATATTTTACCTAAATTCTAGTATCTACAGTAACACGTCCAAATTACCTAGGATGGAGGGAGTATTTTTAAATATAATTTATAAAGTTAAAATAATTTGTAGAATAGTAATATACATTTTTATAAAAAAATCAAAAAAAATACAAGTATATTTTATACATAAATTTTAATAAATATATTTTCAATTAGTTTAAATAATTAAAAATTTTAAATATAATTTATAAAATTCTAAATAAATAAGAAAATTTTAATAAACAATATACTATTTACATTATTTTGTCCTATTTGATAATTTTAACAGTTTAAAAGTATTTTCAACTTTATTATATCCAAACAGTTTTTTATAAAAGTTGCTTTTATAATTATTCATTCAAATATAAAATATAACTGCTTCTGCTTCTGCTT